TCCGGTGAACACCATCTCCAACCTCACGCGCCTCCGTACACTCAGCCTTCGTCTCAACAATCTTTCGGGTCCTCTTCCTTATGATCTTTCCAAATGTGTTGAGCTTCGTAATATTTATCTTCAAGGCAACTATTTTACAGGCCCGGTTACTTTTCTCTTTGGGCTTCGCTCTTTAGTTCGGTTAAATCTTGCTGACAACAACTTTTCTGGTGAAATACCATCCGGGTTTAACAATTTGACCCGATTGAGAACACTTCTTCTTGAAAGGAACCATTTTTATGGGTCTTTACCTGAGCTAAAGTTTACCAATCTAGAACAGTTCAATGTGTCTTTTAATAAACTAAACGGTTCTGTTCCGAGAAGTTTGGAGTCAATGCCTGTGGATGCTTTTCTTGGGAATTCACTCTGTGGGAAGCCACTTGGTATTTGTCCAGGAGGTGGGACCCAGCCTGCAATAGCTACTGCTGGAATTGAAATTGGGAATTCAACTAAGAAAAATAAGTTGTCCAGTGGAGCTGTTGCTGGGGTTGTAATTGGTTCTGTTGTGGGATTTCTTGTTTTGTTGTTACTTTTGTTTGTATTATGTAGGACGAAAAATGGCGAAAAAATGAGGTCTTTTGAGGCTGCTACAATTAAGCAAACAGAAACAGAAGTTTCAGTGGAGAAGCAAATTGTGGAATCAGAAAATGGAGGTATAAATAATGGGCATCCAGTGGCAGCAGCTGCAGCATTGAGTACAGGATTGAGTACTGGCGAAGAAAATGGAGCTAAAAAGCTTGTGTTTTTTGGAGATTATTATAAAACATTTGATTTGGAGGATTTGTTGAAAGCATCTGCTGAGGTTCTTGGTAAAGGAACATTTGGAACAGCTTATAAGGCAGTTTTGGAGATGGGTACAATTGTTGCTGTTAAGAGATTGAAAGATGTGGCTATATCTGAAAAGGAGTTCAGGGAAAAAATTGAAACAGTTGGAGCAATGAATCATGAGAATTTGGTGCCTCTTAGAGCATATTATTACAGTGGGGAGGAGAAACTTCTTGTGTATGACTATATGCCAATGGGGAGCTTGTCTGCACTTCTACATGGTAAACTCTATCACTGCCAAACTCTGATGCTTTTAATTTCCTTATTTTTGTAGATATGTACTATATTTTGTTCCAGCTTTTGGTATTTTGTTGGACCAATGCTACTTACCTCAGTCAATCTCTTTTCTTTATCTTTCTTTAGTATTAGATTAGTTTGTTTGAACATAGACGAGATTAAATGGAGCGATATGGACAGTAATAGCTGTTAAGTATCAGAGTAGTTAGTTTGACTTGTTGGTTACTTTGTAATATGCTTTGTCTGTGTTGGGGCCCTCAACCCAATGAAAATGTGATCCCAGAATTAAGCACTATTATTTCATATTATTTGCCCTTAGTCTTCATCATGTAAAGCATGCTTCTAATATAAGTATTAGGTTAAATCTAAAGTTGTTTGTAATTAAAAGCAATAAGTAGTACTTATTTGATTTAGTGATATCATTATAGCCAAAGGACCCTTTGTCATTTTGTAGGTCACCTGTCCATATACAGGGGAGAGTTGCACAAGCACAACATATAATCTTTCACTTAGCCCTACATTTGTAGGGTCTACAATTATATGCTGAATACTGGAGATTAGTTTTCCGGCATGTGAATCTTGTATGAACTTATACATTGTTTGCCTATGGAATACTTGAAACTTGTCAAAGTGAGCTGTTTGCTGCACTGTAACCTTCTTTCTATTCATTACAATTTCTTTAATTTGCTAGGAAGCAAGGGGGCTGGTAGAACGCCGTTGAATTGGGAAATCAGGTCAAGTATAGCCCTGCAAATTGCACAAGGCATCGATTACCTACACTCTCAAGGTCCTAATGTCTCCCACGCGAATATTAAATCATCTAATGTTCTTCTCACCAAATCATACGAAGCACGAGTCTCAGATTTTGGCCTGGCTAACTTAGTTGGACCACCATCCTCCCCGACTCGAGTAGCAGGATATCGTGCTCCAGAGGTAACAGATCCTCGTAAGGTTTCTCAAAAGGCAGATGTCTATAGCTTTGGAGTATTACTATTGGAGCTTCTAACTGGAAAAGCACCTACTCATGCACTCTTGAATGAAGAAGGTGTTGACTTACCAAGGTGGGTTGAATCTGTAGTTCGCGAGGAATGGCCTTCTGAAGTTTTCGATATTGAACTCCTCAGATACCAGACTGCTGAAGAAGAGATGGTCCAACTATTGCAGCTAGCAATAGATTGTACTGCTCAATATCCTGATAATCGACCTTCAATGTCCGAGGTCTCTAAGAGGATTGAAGAACTTCGACGTTCAACCTTGCATGAACACTATCTTGTCAATGCAACAGATTTAATTGGTCCTTAGTCTTGAGAAGTGCAGTAATTAAACCAAAATCAGACTCATCACCAATATACAGAGGCCAATTTTAAGCATATTGAGCTTGTTATTTGTTGCGTGAAACGAATTTAAATGGAGAAACATGGTCAGGGATTTCATATATCCAACCCAAACTTGTTTGAACTGAGGCATACTTGTAGTTGTTGTTATTGAACTTGTTCTTTATTAGGGATGTCTTATTTCATTTTGAGTTAACAGATTATGGCCCCTTTTGTCAAAGTCCCTATTGTAGTTGAGCCTTTCATTTTCATTTGGGGGGCCAATATCTGCACTATTTATTCTTGTTGGGTAGAATGCTTTCTGTAATTATTAGTACTTCAGCTTTTACTTTTGCCTTTTCTTTTTCTAACTGTCAGTGACAGTTATCTGAATATAAGAGGCATGCGTGCATGTGATTGATATGCTGAAGCCAGCAGAAAGATTACAGTGATGGTAGACAAAGTGGGGCATGTAAGAAAAACTCAGTTCTATCACTTAGTGGGCGTTTGGACATAAAAACTATGAAATTTCGGGAAAAAGAAATTATTTTGCAAGTTGAAAACGGTATTTGAAAATTAGAATTTCATTTGGACATAAATATAATTTAGAACTATTTTTGAAATTTTGCGAGTACTTTGAACTGAAAATTTTGAAAAACAGTTTTTGGAGTTTTTCAAATTCCAAAATTCAACTTAATTTTTTTTTTGGCCAAACGGGCCCTTATTAGGGCCACTTGGAAGATAGACCAAACCATTGAAACATTTTGAAACATATCAAAATCTCATCTTCCTTGGATTTTGGCACAACTGATTTTAACATGTTAGAAATAAGCTTAATATAATAATGGTGAAAACATATATTTAATTAATGTCATAAAAGGAAACGGTGTTGGCGTGTTGCAACTTACACGAAATGGGAGAAACCAATTATTAGAATAGTAACCTACACTTTGTAGTACAATTTGAACTCAAACCACATTTTCTTTAGACTATGGTGACAACATGTCTATTTGATTTCGTTGTATTCTATACCAAAAGCTTATTTTATAAAATTTATATCATCTAAAAAGAATCTATCTATTTATCTATATAGAATAGGAGAAGCAAAAGCACTACATTAAGACAAGTATCTTAACCACAAAAAGGCAAGTGGCATTGTTAAGGCAAAATAAACTACTTTTCTAACTAATTTTTTTTTTAAAATTTTAAATTTTGAATTAATTGGTTACACTACTTGAATTAATAAATATAGATTATCTTATAATTATCAATAAAAATAAAAATACAAAAAAATATTCTACTCATTTAAATTGGAGTTTTAAAATTATTTTACAATAAAAAAACAAAAAATAAAAAACTACCAATTCAAATTGAAAAGTAATTTCTTCCTAATATAGTAGTAGTAGTAGTAGTAGAGTGTGTGTGTGTGTGTGTGTATATATATATATGGGAGTAGTTATGATACTAAATTGGTAATTTATTAATAATTCATATGTCAATTTAACAATATTAAGTAATAGATAATACAATTAGATAACCAAGGCTTTTCTCTTCCTAATAAAAGGCTTATCTCTTTATACTTTTGATGAATTCAAAATTATAATTTAGTAAAAAAAATTATATTATTTAAATTTTCAATAAAATATAAAATGAGAAAACTAATCAAATATTATAGTAGAAAAAAATGTACAAAAAGAGGTGGATAAAGATAATTTTATAATATTTATATTTTGAATTAATTAATAAACAAAAAATAAATAAATAAACTCAAGAAAATTATTGATAAACTTAGACAATTGAAGAATTTTAAACAATATAACATAAGTATAAAAATATATGTTTTCACAATAAATATATATATATATGTATGTTCTACTAGAAGAGAAGTAGTATCAAAATATTAAACCAACTGACAAATTAATAAAAAAAATTACATTAGTAAATGTATAGTACTAAGTACTTGCTAATTTAATACAGAATACACAAGGAATAAATAATCAATTTGATTACTAAAATGCTTTGTATCCTTTGATTTTGTATAGATTTTATTATATTTATATACACTACATTAAATAACAAAATAGTAACTAATATTTATTAAAATAATATGATATATTAGATCATAATTTTATAAGTTTAATATTTCGTCAAATTATCGGCGCATCGCGTGAATTCTAATACTAACACTAACACCAGTTATTAGAATAGTAGCCTACACTTTGTAGTACAATTTGAACTCAAACCACAAAACCACATTTTCTTTAGACTATTGTAACAACATAGCTATTTAATTCCGTTGTATTCCATACCAAAGCTTATTTCTTAAAATTTATATCATCCAAAAAGAAACATGGTATCCTCGTCAACAAAACCACATTATGGTACCAACTCTTTGTAGCAATATCAATTATGAATCTTGTTGATTGATTTTAGCTGTGTTAGGACATCTTTTTTTCTTTTCAAATCTTTTTATTTTACACTGTCAAAGGCAAAATAGTCGTTCTATTAGACCTTTGATTAATCTCCTCTCAGAAATTAGCAACACCAAGAGAGCACAGCAGATTTAGCAGATACTTGCACTGGAGAGAAGAATCAAAGGAATGGAAGAGACTACAAAAGGCAAAATTTGAGGCAACAAGTCCAATCCCTTTCGAAACAGGAGATGTGTTCTCATTGCTGTGGAGGGACATTTACAAAACAATCAAAAGCCTGAAGTCAAAAACCACAAGGCATCTCATGGCCATGCATGAGACACAAGGTTGCCAAACTATAAATAAAACGATTCAAAGCACAACCTCACAGCATGAGATTTCTCTGTATGACGAACATCCCCAGTAGTCCTCATCGTGATCTTTAAGCTGCTTCTATATCTGCAATGGAACAAAAATGAAAAACTGTAACAACGAAGAGAATAGTAGTATCTTTAGAAATATTTCATTAAACTTAGTCAATACATACATTTACAAGGTGTAAAGACAGGGAGATGATTGGCCCACGTTCTGTTTGATTCTATCAGCCCAAGAGACCGAGGTTTGAATACTATACAGCCGCTGTTCCCAGTGGCTATGCATTAGGATTTGACGGATGATCATCTTTCCAACCCTTTGTAAGCAAATCATAATTGATTGATGCAAGCTGGGAGAGATTCTGTTGGAAGAAAGTGAAAAAAAATAGTGGTATCATTTGTTAGGACTAATTCATGAGCCGAATGGCTTTTTACATCAATTCTTGTTGAGTACCAGACAAAGTATCACATGTAATTAAAGAGAAGTAAAATTTGGTCAATCAAAGCAGAGAGTATATTGTTAGAACAAATGAGGGAACAAAGTCACAGGTTGCTGAATGCCAGAAGTTGTTTACTAGTCAAACAAGCTTAGTAATCTCAGCGGAGATACCGTATAAGGTACACGGGCTCGGACGAATCCAGTAGCTTTCAATTAGACCCTATGTTTGTATTAGGACATCCATTAATATGTATAAATATTTAATTGCGAACCCAATTACTAAAACGAGCTATGGGTTTGGTGGAAAGTTCAGAACGCATTAATCTCAAATCTTGGCTCCGTCTCTGAGTAATCTCCTGATCATAAGCAACAAACCGCAGCATAAAGGTAGAAGAAAAGATCAAAGAAGATCCAGATAACATTAAAACAGTATGTCATCCTCTTAAAGCGATTTAAGAATGCATCCAACAGCTGCAGTAAGCCATAGCCTGACAATTTTCATGTATTCCCTCTTCCAAAAAAACACCCAGCCATCAAAAAGCAGCCCATCATGAATGGAGTGTTGTTACNGTGAAGTAACTAGTATCCAGTGCACCTTCTGATTCAGGCACAAACGCAGCCTGAGAAGTACATGCATAGATTCTACACTAATTAGTAGAACTAATATGATCGACCACCTGCTAGCTGCTAATACATCAACAACAACAATAATACAACTACACCTCAATCCAAAACTAGGCGGAGTTAGTATGCTTCAATTCAAAACTAGGTGGGGTTGGCTATGATTTTCATGGCCCTTTCGGCACTAGGGCCCATTTGCTAGTACAGATACAGTTAAATGAAGACAAATCACTTCTATGAATAATCACAGTCAAACCTTCTGTCTAGCCAGTGTGTCCCAGTTAATATCTCTAAAATATGGATGCTGCTTCACCTGCATGAAAAAGAATCATAGTCATTCTAGCTTTATTCTCGAGATTTCAAATGGACAGAATGTAACAAGGGTCAATATCAAAGTTAGATGGAAAAAAGAACATCACCTCTGATGCTCCGCTGGCCCCAAGCCTCAGATTAGGATCTTCTGTTAGTAACCTGAAATTTACCATGATAGCAGCTTTCACAAGTTGAGAGACAGAAACAAACTAGTTCTATAATAGATAAGTTACAAAGAGAAGAATGCTAAGCTTATAATTACTAAAGCCTGATGATGCTAATCTTAGAAGCTGCACCTGAAAATTACAGAATAAACTCTCCATCAATTATAGGTTCAAAACCCAGCCTGTTCTCATTTTTGGCAGAATAGATTACTCCAAATGTATATTTATCACCATTATCCTTTTCATAGTAAGATTCTTCTTCTGTTCCAGGGTCATGATTGTTGACCGATTTCAGAGTATTTATAGACAATCTTCTCATAAATAATCCCCGACTATGCTTTTGTCAAAAGTCGACCAAATTCTAATGATCCACGCCCTCTCTCAAGTCGATAAAACTATTTCCTCATAATTCACACACGCCACACAACATAGAGCTTACATCTGCATGTCCTTATCCCGGAAGTTAAAATGAGAACTGACTACAAGATGAAGGCTCTTGGGAAAAGAACTTTGTCAACTCAAAACTAAGAAGACGAAAATGGGATATTAAAACAATAAACAGAATGATTCTCTTACTGATCAATCAGATCTTGTGCTTCAGCGCTCATTTCATCAGGAACCCCTGGCCAAGGTATCTTACGATTGAGAATATTATCGAATATTTTCTGCAAATGACAAAAAGTAAAAAGAGAAAGAGCAATACATCAGAAGTGCTTCATAAAACAGTAACCTCATCAATATAGTACATCACAGGAGAGAAAATGCTCAGAGTACGTTATCAGAAAAAAAAACAAAATCTCACATAGTACATTATCAAGAAAGGAAATTGCTCACAGAGTATGTTATCAAAAAAAGAACTGCTCACAGAATTTCTACTGTAAGCGATAAAAGCATAAAGGTATCAGAATTGCAAATACTAAACTATGTATATCAAGTGTTACATACATTTTTGACAAAGATATCAAGTGTTACATATAGGATGCAAACGGGCAGGGAGAAGCTGTGTGGGTCAAGCCTCAACTGGCTAAAAGTTTAACCCCCCCCCCCCCCCCCCCCCCCC